GATTATAATCTGTAAAATTGTAAAGCATTTCCAAAACGCATTCGGAAGAAGAAGGAGAGCAAAAGCGCATTTTTATAGGAAGGTTAGGCACTTTGCGCGATGGAGCGTTTGTCACGCAAACATCTGCAGTAAATACTATTTTGATTCCAATGATTCACATGCACTAAATGCTCTGACCTAAAAACTAAACAACCATTGCGCGATGAAACCTTCGTCGCTCATAACATATAGGTTCGAAATATGGCGGTAAGGTTATCTGCCTTTTTTTGCGCCCTTTGTGCAACGAAACTGGCTTCGCCAAAAAATTTCCCCGACAAAATAGTGGATTGTAATTATGAAGTTTACGTAAACATAGATCTTTAATATCTATATTTACGTAAACTTCATAATTACAAATAAATATTCAGTTATAATATTTATTATAAAAATAATTAAAAAATTAAGTAAATTGAATTAATATTCCATGCAATTATTTAAACAACAAAACATGAATTATACCCTAATTAAAACCAAATACATTATCGATAAAAATCTTTAAAATTAAATATCGTCCTTAAAAACATAAATTTAAAACTACTGTTTCGATGATCCTCCATTCTACTCCACTGCATAACGCCACCGCTTGTAACCCCCCTTTAACGTCTCATCCATCAACTTCATCAACTCTTCGTTCATTCGTCAAGAGTATAGTTACACTGTTGCACGTATATGCAAATAATTAATTCCAACATATAACAAAAAATTTAACAAAACTATATATTTTCAACTTTTGTCACACTTAGTAATAATTGATCCATCACCGCCTTCTTCGCATTCTCGAGCACATATTTCCAAGAATGTCACTCAGCAGTAGGACAATTAGTCTGCATTGCTACATCAATCGCATATGCAAACTCCACATATTGGCTCATATCATAGGGCCCGGAGGGCATGCTCTGCTCCCGATTTTTATCCTCCATACGAGCACGAAGAGAATTGTGAAGAATAAGGAAAGCAGAAGCGCATATTTATAGGAACGTTAGGCACTTTGTGCGACGAAGCCTTTGTTGCACAAACCTCTGCACTAAATTCAGTATCAATTCCTCTTATTCACATGCACTGAATGCTCTCAAAAAACTGACTGGACTTTGCGGGATGAAACCTTTGTCGCTCAAGTGTTCCGTTGATTACCATGCACTAAAAGCTCTAACCCAAAAACTGAATGAACTTTGTGCGACGACGCCTTTGTGGCCCAAGGTAGCAACAGGAAAATCTTCGTCACGCAAAGTGGCACCAACCTTGCGCGACAATGCACGTCATCAGATTTGCTTCACTTTTGTCAATATCCCAATCAGTCTGATATGCAAAAATTAATAAATTATACATATCACTATTATATTTTATCTAAAGAACTAAATTATTATTTAACTAATTAATAATTTACACATACTACTAACACATAGATCATGACCGTCTTTATCTCCTCGGAGACGTCTCTCCAAGACTCTTAATTCACTATGCATCTGTCATGCACCAATACCCCAACATCGCCCCGAAACTTGTTCACCATATCTGACTTCTTATATCCTACTAATTTTGCATAAGTGATTCAGTAGCGGCTCTTAGCAGAAGAAGTGTATTGAACGCATGTCGCAGCTCTCTTCTTTTTCTTGTCTACCCACAAAATAAAAACTTATATTAGTCTACTTAAATATTTAATTAATTTACACAACTAACAAAAATTAGTATGTATTACCTTTCTCAGAACCTTCACCTTGAACTGTCTTTGACAAAGGACCACCAAAGTTTGCCATCGCATACGAAAAAACAAACAAAAATTGAAATAATAATTCGGTGAAAGGAATTTTGGCTTGTTTGCGTTTCCGAAACGAATTGTGAAAAATAAGGAGAACAGAAGCGCATATTTATAAGAAGATTAGGGGCTTTGCGTGACGAGGCCTTTGTCGCGCAAACATCTGTACTAAATACGGTATTGATTCCTCTAATTCACATGCACTGAATGCTCTGACGTAAAAACTGAATGGACTTTGCGCGACGAAGCCTGTGTCGCGCAAGGTTTCCCCAAGAAAAACTTCGTCACACAATTTTTTTGGGCCAAAAAAAAAATTACTTGCGGTTTTCTTACTGACTTTGCACGATGAATTTTTTTTTTTCCGTCGTGCAAACACTATTGCGCAATAAAGATGTGCGTCACGCAAAGTAGCACCATTCTTGCACAACGAAGTTTTTGTTTCGTTGCACAAAACTCACTTGCCCGACTAATTTTGCTTTGTCGCCCAAACATCTGTCGCACAAATAGTTTTTCCTACTAGTGACATTGAACCTTCCTAACATTGTATCTTTAGTTACAAAAATGTTCTCTCAGGTGACCATCGAAGTCGTGGTCACTCCCCCTTTGATTTGATATCTAGGGTGAGAAGAATAAATTAAGAATGGCTCTTGTTAGTTAATCACCTTTCCTTATTTTACTGCCCTGTTACATGGAGAAAATCTTGGATGCGGACAACCGAACCACATGGTGTCCAACTGCCCGCAAAATGCCCAACCTCCGTTATTTGGTCTCACCCCCTTGTGTGGAGTCGATGTATACGTGTTTGTATTGAAGAACGCTTATAGCATGCTTTCTGTATGTGTTTTAGCTAGTTTTCATTTTTTATCATCCCATGTAAATAAAATGTTTGAGATGGTTGAAACTTGAAACTTATGAGATGTGTGCATTCTACTTCATTTAATGGCAAGTGGCCAGTCAGCTTCTTACCTTTACCAGTTACCACTAATAGTCCAGTTTTTGGGTGAATTTACCACCTATGTCAATTTTGTTAGAAATGTTGTGATTTACGACTTAATTAGGATGATGTAGAAATTAAGTTTGTGTTATTCATTTCGTTTTAGTGTTCTATTTGGGTTTGGCTTTGAATTTGACTTCTTAGTTGGATTCCTTGCTTGGTGGAGAGATTTTGTTAATTACTTATTTGATTAAAATTTGGATTTACTTTTAATTAGGATTATGATTATCATTGTAACCCAAGTCCTATGTACTATAAATAGGATCTTAAGGTTAGTTTATTTGTGTGCCTCACCATTAGTTTAGAGAGTTTTCTCTCATTAGGTATTGGGTGGAGGTCACTGTTTGGAGTTATAAGTGTGTGGCAAATTCATAGCTCATCTATTTAACAATCTGGTGAGAGTACTTGTGAATTTGAGATTTAAAGAGCAATTTGGGAGAGACTACTCTGTTTGTTTGAGTTCTCTACTCGTTTGTTTAGGGTTTGTAATTTGTGGGATTTAGGTTGCGAGAGTTATAACACTCTTTTGTAATCTCTGTTTGCACTAGTGAATATATAAAGGGTCTGGGAAGCGCGGCCGCCCCTCCTCTCTTCGGAATTCAAGCCGAGGAGCGATGGTCCGCCCCTTTGGTGTCGTCGAAAAACCTGCAAGGTGAAGCCATGGTTGATGTAAGCTACATCTCTGTGCAGCGCCTGTGTTTTGTTATAAACAATCATGTGAAGAAGACATGTCCGTTGCCTTTATAAAATAAAAATAATAGACACTAAACGGCGTCATTTGGACATAAAAATATTTATATAAAAAAAAACACAACAGAAGGGGGACCACTCGTCCCTATTTATTAACCTCACATTCACCTCCCCAATTCCCACCTCACTGCCATGCCTTCTACCTTTTTAAATTTAAATTACTAATTCATAATTTAACATAAATATTTGCTTAATTGACATTCTTTATTAGTTCTATAGGGTAATATGAATATCGATTATTGATATGAATAATATGATTATTAATTAATAAGTAGATTTTTAGGTAAAATTTAGCTGCCATTTTTCGAAAGAGTGCAACTTTTGTTAAAATTTGATGCTGAAAGGAGCTAAAGCATTAACTATTGGTTAAAGTTGCAGTTTTTATCTTGAAAAAAAAACACTTAATGTTTATTAGGTAGATATGTTTGCAAAAAACTCAAATTGGTATGATAAAGTTCTCTGTTTTCACATTTGGCATATCACACTACAGTGGCTTGTATCAAATATAGGCTTTGTTTGGATTCTAGGATTGGATTTGAATTGACAAACATATAAATTCAGTCCTCTAGACCAGAGGAGGCCATATAGTATTATGATCAAAGAGATGGACATCACTGCAATGCCCCTTTCCCTTAAAGCTATCGAATAATTAGCAAATTTATGACATAAAATCTCACCGACAACAATTCTAACTTGTTTGTCTTGATAAATATATGAACGAGATTAATATTGTTTATTATCTAGAAGAATTTGGTTGTCTACATTTATTTTGGAACCTTTTGCTCTTTTAAATTTCGCCCTTCCCCCCGACAATTCCTAGCTTCGTCACTGTCCATTTGTTTAGTAAAATTCCTCACCGTGTTTTGCCCATGGATGTAGGCTTTACGTCAAACCATGTTAATTTCTTGTGTTCCTATTTTGAGGTTGTTTGTTCCTTCTCTTTTGCTTATGAGGTTGATATTCGATACTTTGTTAAAATTCGCTTCTACTTGCACATAAAAGTACAACAAGAAAATTCTACTAATCACACTTCAAGTGTTCGGCATTTTTAGCTCTATAGTAATTCTGATGTAATTATATTTTTTTGGGCTTTTAGCTGAAATGATTCACTTTGGCATTTGGTTGCTAATTGTCGTTCATATTTTATTTCGGTCATTTAGTTATCAAATGTCAAAAGTTGGTCATTTTAGCCAATTGTCATAAAAAATTTTATGTTTACTGTTATATATACAACTATATAGGGTTAGAATCTGATACAAATGCTTTTGACACTCATTTTTAAGGTCAATTCTTAATGTATTTCAATGATATGAACTGTAAATATTTTAGTACACCATTCATAGATCCAGCCACGAACGCTGTGCTGATCTCAATCAGAAATTGAAAGAAGCCCGTGGAATTACTATGAACAACACTGCCAAAAACGACAGATAAAGAAAAAGAAGTGACGTTATAAAGCCCGAGCCAACGTGGCCACCGAAACTCTAAGCATCCTCTCAAATGATCGCAACAAATTGCGACTGCAGACCGGATCGAAAGTGATTAAGGAAGTATGTACACATTTCTGTGATGAATCTCCACTGTAAACAACACGTGGCTCGATCCTGTGCACTCATTGGTACACTTTTCAGCACTTGGTATGTACTAAGTAGAAAAGTGGCATAAGGACCATAATTTCTGCGTTCATATTACTCCGATCACTGTGTTTCAGGCAGTTCCGGCTCTATTTCCGTCCCTAAAAATGGTGCGACTATCGGAGCCTCCGATTGACATGCAAAGACGAAGAAGCGAGCGTTTGGCCGCAATCGATGCTGCAAACAATAATGTCAGTGAAGGAAGCTCTGCTTCATCTGTAGAAGAAAATGGTGGTCATCCAATTTCAGGTAACTTGAACCAACGAATTACATAAATTTTATATTTTTTATATTTTCCTAAATTTCATTTATTTTGTACTAATTTTTTAGTTTAGTGCTTGAATTTCTTTTGGTTAATTGGTTAATTTTGAGTAGTAAATGTTGAAATGTGTTGTTAAATTTGAATGTGGATATATATATATATATATATATATATATATATATATGGTGCTTCAATTGATGTATCCTTGAATTAAACTTATTTGAGGCTCACTCATATTTTAATGATCAAAACCGTCTATTTTCTAGGTTCTTCTTGAAGATCGTTATTGCAAAAATCACTCAATTAAATGGTTTTTAGTCCATTGTTTTCTTAAAATATATGTCCGTCTATTTTATTGGAATGCAATTAAATGTCTTGGCCATTTCGGATTTATCTAAATTTTTGGTCAACATGATTTTTAGAATTAAAAAGATAGACGGTTCATATCATTTGAGGGATCTTGATAGAAGTTACTCGATATTGTATATAGGTTATGGAGGGGTAGCAAAGAAGCAGATGAAGAGCAAGAATATGGAAAAGAACAAAATTGAAAAAAGGAAGGGTGGAGAAGATTATGTGCAGTTCCGTTGTAATATGATGTCATTTTTTAATACGATGCAGTGAGTTAAGAAACACTTAACAGAAAGGCACTTGGAGTTGCTTCAACAAACTCCGTTTTGGCCATTAATATCGGCATTTTACAGTGGCGTGATTTTGGAAGATCAGTGCAAGAAATCAGACAATGACGTCCGCACCATCATCAAGTGCTACAACTCCAGAACAATGAGTTTTGAGTTTGGTAGCACGTCTGCATCATTGACAACCAAAGACATTGCTGAAATTTTGGGACTTCCAAAGGAAGGTGAAGAAGTACAGTTGAAAGGAACACAGAAGCACATATCAGATTTTACCAAAAGGTATTTCGAGGAAGAAACAATATTGTACAAAAAATTAGTGGATAATGCTTTGGAAAAAGCGTTAAAGGGGAAGAGAGAAATCGATGTAGGGGATGTTGTACGTCTGATTGTACTAGAACTATGCGGTACCTTCTTATTATGTACCACAAGCCACACCATTTTCTGGAATTTAGTCAAGTACTGTGAAGATTTAGAAAAAAATTCAAGATATTCATGGGCAAAAGCAGTGGCTGACGTACTACACGAGGCATTGGGAAAACAGACCAGGGGATGCAAGCCATGTTCTATTCCTGGATGTGTCATTATTATAATGGTAACTCACCTATGCTACCGTATAATAACTTTCCTAATGTAAGACTGCCTTCTTATGTGATTGTACTTGCTGTTTATTTTCATGCTAACAACTTTGGTTGTGTGAGAAAACTAACCTCATACAACCAATCAATGGAAGGGAGGGACATAAACCAGCTTTCATAAAATGGAGGGTGCGGGAACTGCACTCCAAACTGAATGAAATAGACGTCACAGACATCGAGGTAAGTTTATAGCTATAACATGCACATAGTAACTGCTATATAATACATGTGTAGTTGTGATCAGTGTAGGAATTAATTTAGGTACTGATATCCTATCTGTGTGCATGATGCAACTGTCCAGCTGAGCTTTAAGAAGGACAAGAAGAAGAAGAATAAGAATGACGAAATGGAAAAGCCGCTTGAAGAAGCTAAAATAGATGGGCAAGATTTAGAAGAAGGGGAAAATGTGTTAGATGAAACAGCAGCCTCGTCAGAATGTGCATTTCGAGCTCAAAAGACACAATCAAAACTCCTTTCAGTTCGTACTATTTCAAAAAGGTTGATTGACAAAGAAGACTTGGAAAAAAGACGGGAAGATTTAGGGGAAATGATTCAAAATGCAAGTGCTGAAGGTGCAAAAGCTCAAGGCAAAGTGAATAGGCTAACCGAAAAGTTGGAGAGTAAGAATGACAAAATAAAGAACTTGAAGAGGAAGCTAAAAGAAGAAAATGAGGAGAAGAGAAAGATGAGAGAGGACTATGAGTTCTTAATTGCTGAGCAGAAATCATTGCTTGAATCTGTAAAAAGGTTCGTGAAAAATCTGGAAGGGGCTCTTAAAGCCGAACGGGAGGAGGTGAAGAACCTTAAGAAAGACAAAATGGAGATGATCAAGGAAATTCAAGAACTCAAAGATCAGCTGAATGAAGGGAGTCCATGCGCCGCATTGCAAGACATACAATTTGAGGTGTGTCCGAAGCAATTGTTTTTTACAAGTCTCGATAAAAACAGAGGAAATAGGGCATCAGATCCGGAGTTTGAGTATGAACAAGAAGGAAAAAAGAAACGGAAAGTAAGGCAGTAAAAGATGAAAGAGATATTGAACTAAACATGGTAAATACCAATATTAAACTAAATATGGTAAATATCAAAAATATATATGACAATATTTGAGAATTTCTTATATATTCATTAATCTCCAAAGTGGAGTATATATAGGAGTTACAATTAGTATTACATATGTACTTCACCAACGTGGGACAATAAACTACTATTTACACTCTAACTAATATATAACTCGCAACACCCCCCCTCAAGTTGGTGCAAAGATGTCACGCATGCCCAACTTGTCAAGCGAGTTGGAAAGCACACTATTAGACACAGCCTTAGTAAGAGCATCAGCAAGTTGATCTTCAGATCTCACAAATGGAAACATAATAATTTCAGCATCCAGTTTTTCCTTAATGAAATGTCGATCAATCTCCACGTGTTTTGTTCGATCATGTTGCATTGGATTATGAGCAATCTCAATAGCAGCCTTGTTATCACAATGAAGTTTCATAGCACTTTTGGGGTTAAACCTAAGATCTCTCAACAATTTTTTCAACCACAACAACTCACATACACCATGCGACATACCACGAAACTCAGCTTCTGCACTTGACCTAGCCACCACTTTTTGTTTCTTGCTTCTCCAAGTAACTAAATTACCACCCACAAACGTAAAGTATCCAGATGTAGATCGCCGATCAGTGATAGAACCTGCCCAATCTGCATCTGTATACCCTTCGACATTCAAATGACCATTCTTGGAGATAAACAGGCATCTGCCAGGAGCCATCTTCAAGTACCTCAAAATACGGGTTACTGCATTCATATGAGCTTCACTAGGTGAGTGCATAAACTGACTTACCACACTAACTGCATAAGCAATGTCAGAGCAAGTGTGAGACAAATAAATTAATCTCCTCACAAACCTCTGATACCTTTCCTTATGAGTAGGAACTTGATCTGGAAATAAGCCCAGACGATGATTCTGCTCAATCGGAGTATCAACAGATTTGCAATCTAACATACCTGTTTCAGCTAACAAATCAAGAACATATTTCCGTTGAGACAGAAAAATACCATGCTTGAATCGTGCAACCTCGATTCCAAGAAAATACTTCAATTCACCCAATTCTTTCATCTCAAACTCAGTAGCTAGGTACTTTTGAAGACGTTGTATCTCCTTCTGATCATCACCAGTCACTATCATGTCATCAACATAAATAATCAATGCAGTTAGCTTACCATTTTGTCGCTTTAGAAAAAAAGTATGATCTGAATGACTCTGGATATACCCAAACTTCTTCATTAAACTTGTAAACCTCTCAAACCACGCTCTAGGAGATTGTTTCAAACCATACAAAGCCTTTCGTAACCTGCACACAACACCTTTTCCAGGAGATGTTCCAATACCAGGTGGGAGATCTATATACACTTCCTCCTTAAGATCACCATGAAAGAAAGTATTCTTAACATCAAACTGCAACAGAGGCCAATCCTGATTTGCTGCTAAGGACAGAAAAACACGCACAGTATTAAGTTTGGCAACAGGAGGAAATGTCTCCTTATAGTCCACCCCATAGGTTTGAGTATAACCCTTAGCAACTAATCTAGCTTTATACTGATCAATAGAACCATCTGCTTTGTGTTTAATAAACACCCATCTACATCCAACAGTTTTTTTTCCGTTTGGTAAAGGAACCAAATCTCAGGTAGAATTTTTTTCCAAAGCTTCCATATCAACTTTCATGGCATTAACCCACTTAGGGTCAGACAAGGCATCTTGCAATTTTGTTGGAATTGATACACTAGATAGCTGACATATGTATGATGCATATGGTTTGGATAAACGATGAGTAGACACATAATTGTTGATAGGATATTTGGCTTTGGCATGCATATCAGGCTCATATTGTACTTTAGGTTTTCCACGATGCTCGTGGAGGCAACTTATAAGTAGAAGAATCGTCAGAATTTACCTCATGTATGCCACCATCTTGTACCAAACTGTTAGAAGAATCATCACTGGACGAACCATCATCAGCCTGTAACTCGTTAGACATATCAGCAACAGGCAACCGATCATTAGAAGGCAATTCGTCAGACATACTAACAGGCAACTCGCTGGGCACATCTGATCTATTGTCAGTAGAAATAGTTCCGGGAATAACAGATGACTGATCACTATCTGTAGTCGACTGATCAGTATCTGTTTGGACCCAAATTTACATTATCGGCCCGTGCAATCAAGGCCGTTGAGTAAGCATACCTCCCAACCGTCGGATAGAAAGGTGAAGATAATTTTATTATTGTTAAGAGATAATATTATAATTTTTATTATAATAATTGTCTTTTAACGTGAATTATCTTGGTTATGGGTGTTTGGGCCCAAAATAATAGTTTGGGCCGAGGGTAGGATCACTCTCGGCCCAGGAGGCCGGGCGGCAAAAGGACCATGGATCGGTCAACCCGTGGGAGTCCAAACTTAGGGCGGTTAAGACGAATCCTAGTGCAATGGGGAGTCTCGACGGGATCGGATATCCAGGAAATTAATCCAGCTTAGCTAAGGACTAGGTTCATAGTCCTAATAGGTGTAGGACTGGTCGAGGTGATCCGGAGAGGGAAACCTAGTCCAAGTAGGATGTAAACTCGGACTCAAGGTTCAGTACTATAAATAGGGGACGCTGTGCATCAGGAAAACCCCTACAAAATCAATACAAAATTGCCCTGCGCAAACTCTCACAACTTGTGATTTTTCTTTTTCCTTTCTTCGCTGACACATCTTCCGTTGGCATCAACAGCACTGTGAAAGCAACCGGTGATATCTTAAGTCGGCATAGATAGCTCTGTCACCGTAGAGTCAGTCGGTCTCGCAGTATCTTCCGTTGGCATCAACAGCACTGCGGCGAGGACGACTGGTTACCTATCCAAGTCTCGGTCGAGAAGGATTTCCGAATCCCTATTGGTCGAGGTCATCTCATCAGCCTTCTCGGCGAAGTGAGGTGTTACAGTTATTATATTCGGCACACTGAAAGCCGAATTCGGTTCGTGAACTTCGTAAGAATAGCAGCCTTGTCTTCAGGCTCGAGAACCCAAGAGGCCGAGACGTGTTCCTTTCTCGGCCGCAATCGCAAGACGCAGAAGTCAGTAGCGCGACCCAACGCAACATCATCAAATTTACTCCTCGGCCGACGAGTTGGCACGCCCCGCAATCACCGAAGGACGTAGTTAGCTTAGAAAATACTCGGCCTGCGCGCCACGTAGGCTTTGTAGTTTCTAGGGTCAACAGTATCACACAACATAATAGGTTCTGTTCCCAACTCTGCCTGTAACACATCATCCATACCATCTCTTCGAATCTGCACTTCACTCTCCCTCTCCATCTGAAGTGGAGAGTCGGAAGAGGGCTTCACAAAATACGAAACTTCCTCATGGAATGTGACATCCATGGTAATATAAGTTTTTTGAGTTGGACGATGATAACACTTATAGTCTTTCTTATTGTTAGCATACCCAATAAAGACACACCGGAGAGCACATGCATCAAGTTTACTCCGCTGATGAGAGTAGACATGCACATATGCAATACACCCAAACACTTTCGGATGAAGCTTTGATACAGAAACAAGAGAAACATGTTGTAGCACATCGAACGGTGTCTGAAAATCAAGAACCCTACTTGGAACACGATTGATCAAATACACAGTAGCCAAAACAGCATGACCCCACAAATGATTAAGAACACATTTATCCAACATCAAGGAGCCAGCAACTTCCATTATTTGAAGATTCTTCCGTTCGGACACACCATTTTGTTGGGGTGTAAACGGAGTAGTCGTCTGGTGAATAATACCATGATCACGAAAAAAACATACCAAAGTGTGATTCACATATTCTCCCCCATTATCAGACCTGAAAACCTTAACTTTGGTCTGAAACTGAGTAAACACCATTGTACAAAAATCTTGAAGAAGTAACGGAACATCACTCTTATTCTTCATCAAGAACACCCAAGTTAACCGAGTACAAGCATCAATAAAAGTAACAAACCAACGAAATCCATTAGAAGTAACTTTCGCTGGACCCCACACATCAGAGTGTATCAAATCAAATGGCAAAGTAGCTTTAGAATCACTTACAGGAAATGAAGCACGATGACTCTTAGTTATGACACATGTTTCACACTTGAACTCTGAATCACTATAAGTGCAAAACAAAGAAGGAAATAGATGTTTCATATAACTGAATGATGGATGTCCCAATCGTCGATGCCACAACCAAATTTGAAGTTTGTCATCCACTTTAGCACTTAAAACTTGATGATTATTTGAACCAGAAACAACAGTATCCTCCATAGTCAAGATGTACAAACCCCATATTCTTTTACCATGACCAATTATCTTCTGAGTTTGAATATCTTGAAAATAACAATACGTAGGGTAGAAGTGAGCAGAACAATATAAGGTATCAAGAAGTTTTCCTACCGACAAAATATTGCACTTAAGATCAGGAACAAGTAAAGCACGGACCAATGATAAGGTTGGAGTTAGAAAGATAGTGCCTTCACCATTCACATGAGAATGTGCTCCATTTGCACTAGTAACATATGGATCACGAATATAGTCACATAACTCATCAAACATTCTAAGGTCACTAGTCACATGATCAGTGGCCCAAGTATCTATTATCCATTTATTTGTTCCACCAAGATGCGTAACAACACTATGATTATATTGAGCCATTGAACAAAAATCACGAACAATAAAGGCACAAAAGATACGCAGCGGAATGAAAACAATTTACCAGACACTGTGCAGAGACTGTTTTCGGCACTGTAGAGGACCACTGTTCACAAAGCAGACCATTGTTCACGCACTGTACTGTAGCGCGCCACTATTCACTTTTTTTTTTTTTTTTGAAAGAAATCACGAAAAATGTGGGCATAAAATTAAAGCACACAGGTCACTAAGAGCGAACTGCTCTGATGCCATATTGAACTAAACATGATAAATACCAATATTGAACTAAACATGGTAAATACCAAAAATATATATGACAATATTTGGGAATTTCTTATATATTCATTAATCTCCAAAGTGGAGTATATATAGGAGTTACAATTAGTATTATATATGTACTTCACCAATGTGGGACAATAAACTACTATTTACACTCTAACTAATATATAACTCGCAACAATAGATGGATAATTTTCCCCCTGATGCAGTTGCTGCATGCATTTTTGGATGAAGAAGTTATATCAGTCGAGGAAGGCGTGGAACCTTCCTAGCAGTTTGTCTGTATTTGTTAATTGATACCCTTTCCTTTAATTTACTGCATTACATGGAGAAATTCTTGGATGTGAACGACCAGACCACATGACAAAACGCCATACCACTGGTATTTTAGTCCCACCCTCTTGTTTCTAGCACCGGTATCTGGGCTTCCGAACTGAAGAATTCCTCCTATTGCGTGCTTTGTGTGTGTGGTGTAGCTAGCTTTCACTTTCTGATCATCCCATGTAAAGTAAAACTCTTTCCTTATGTTTGAGATGGTTGAAACGTCTACTTATGAGATGTGTGCATTTAGGTTTACATGTGGTTCCATCCTTCTTATATCGTTGTCCTATAATGTGTGGTTCTACTTCTCAATTACATCGAGGCTTTCATGATAAACTTTCACACCATGCAAATGTAATTGTAAGTTAGAGGACAATATCGGTGACAATGGTAACGAGATCTTTTGTGATAAATCTCAACAAAGTTTTTTTTTAAGATAGCTAGTACTTGCACTTCCCCTAAGGGATGACCTCATTCCCCCAAACGTATCTTCATTATAAAAATTACATCATAACTATTCAATCTCTTGATCTTCATTTGGCTATCATCTCTACAAAAATCATTCAAACTTGATATTGCTTAGTCATCTAAATATATCAAATCGATCAATGGTTCATCATAAATATGCATATGGTCTAATATCTTAGTGGATATGTTGTTGGGTTTTTAACCATGTATCCCGCGTTCAAAACTTCTATCTGGTAAATTATTATAATAATTTCAAACTCTCCTCCTATCCTTGATAATAATACTTAAAAAGAAAATGAATATACTATTTGGTACTTTCACAGTTACACTATTAATTTATTTATAACATTTAAATGATTAAACGACATTTGTTTTTTATGATCTTTTTATTAAAAATTACCTTCAAATGTAGATTAAGAGGTTCAACATCTTTTACTATAAAGTTCGTACGATCAAGATATTTTAAGTATGAGAATAAACTCATGTCAGAAGGGAATGCAATAATTATCCATCTTTTTACAATATCAATGGAATTAGGCTAGCCTTTAAGTACTCTTTGATATACATAATAAATAACAGACCGTACGATAATGCATGTTAACAATGCGTGGCACGATCTTGTGCACTCGTAGGTACACTCTTCAGTGACACTCGGCATTATTTGTTGGTAGAAAAGTGGCATTGGGACCATAATCGCATTCTTCTTTCATATTTTCATGACTTGGGTCCCTCCGGTCACTCCCACTGTATTTCTGAGACGTCTTCGGCTCGGTTCCGGACCTCCGGTTCAATTTCCGTCCATGAAAATGGTGTCGGAGACACGACGTATGATTCTTTCTAACGACCACGAGGGCGAAGCCGAAGCCGAAAATCGGAACGTTTCCGAGCTGGTTTCGGCGCTGAGAGCGGCGTCTCGGGCGGAGGATTTCGCCCGAATCGAAGAGGCTTTAGCAGGGAGAGAAGCGGAACTGAAGCGAGAAATTGAGAGGCAAAGGCACGAGAAGGCATTGATGGAGGAAAAGCACGAGTTCGAGCGGCTCGAGAAGCTCAAAGCGGAGGACGAGCTCAGGGTCAAGCTTTCCGTGATGGTCAAGGCAGAGGCGGTTAGCGAAGACAAGTTTCCGGTGAAAGACCAGAGCAATGAGGTCATTTCGGGGAAGAGGAGGAACATGCAAAGAAGAAAAAGCAAGCCTCTGGCTGCAATCAGTAATAACTGTGAAGTAGGCTCTGCTTCTTCTGTTGAAAGAAATGGAGGTTTGCCAATTGCAGGTAATTTGGATTAAGGATTTTTTTTTTTACATCAATATTTTTACAATAAGAAGATAATAAGTAGTTCGTCATATAATGAACAGCCTAATTTAGTATTGAATTCATCATTTACGAGATTCGAACTTAAGACATCTCATTTCTAAATGAGAAAAAATATCATCATAGTTTTGACTAGTGGAATGGGGGTTATACTTTTATGTGTTTGGTAAAATTTTGTTAGTTAAGTAATTTTCAATGAGAGTGGTTAGACCCACCAATGTTCAATCTTCTCATCACATTATAATCTCACCTGTCATAAAATGTTAAAAATTTGAAATTTTATTTCCCCACCGACTATTATTCTTAAAGTAACCTCTAATATGATATTTTCTCACCTACTATTATTCCTGAAAAATTGAAATGCTATTTTTTCAACAACGAAGTCTCATCCGATGAATCTACCAGCAATGTATGACCCTTCAAATGCTTTTTTGATGTGTGATTATGCACTTGAGGTAACAACTACTATCAATATCCAATCATTATCAGATGCTAACTTCTTCCTTTAGTAAACTTTCTTTCCATAATTTCTTCTATCCTCATCCTTTATGGGTTTTTATTTCTTTTATTTTGAGAATTCGGCTTAAGAATGGTCCATTCTTTTTACAAACCAATGTCAGTCTAGGGTTCCAGTGACCTTTCTGCGGCCAACTTATATACACACACATATCTATATCTCTCTTTTAAGGTCTTTATCAGTCATTTTACAAATGGAAATACTTGTAATTAAAAATTTCATTAAAAAATAGGTGAGAGAAAAGACATTGGGATAGGAATAACAATACTCTTACCAATTGGTATCAGAATTTTTTTATTGACTTTTTACAACTAGAGTTTAGTGATTATTCCTCTACACCTATAAGTGGGTGGTATTAGGTTTTAATCTCGTGGATGACAAATTCGAGATTAATATATGATAGTGTGCTCATTATGTGATTTAACTAAAATCGTCTCAACTCTAAGTGTAATACACTGTTGTCAAAAGAATTTAAAATAAAAATTGTAGTTGACCTTTTAATTTGGTGTGGCTACTAGTGTATACGTTCAAACCACTTAGTACTATAGTATAGAAATATTCCTCATTTACTTGTAAGTGATAGATCTTAAGTTCGTCTTATGGATGATGAATTAGATGCCAACTTATTCCCCTATTCCTTAAAGTTAAAAAAAAAAATAAAAAAATAAAAAAAAAATCAACATTTTATGTGGCAAAGTAAAGTTCAGCTTTTGAGGAAAGTACAATATTGATTCAAATGAAACTGATGCTAGAGAACGACTTAAAGGAAAATCTAGTATCATTTCCATTTTTCGCAAGGGAAATGATATCCACACTCCATTTTTATCCCTTTGCAGTCTCCCTCTTGTTTCTAACCACAAGATTGAATAAATCAACGGTGGAAATCATCTTCCTATTTGCGATTAAGAACAAAGTTAGTTTATTCTAAATTTTGAGTTTAGTGCTTGGATTTTGTTAGTTACGTAATTGAAATTCAGGAGGTTATATTTTGAAGGATTGACTTCTGTTTGATGATTGTGCCTCTGTACTTATCTGATTTCTGTATAAATGTTGAAATATATTGTTAATTTTAAATGTGGCCGTATATAGGTTATGGCAGGGACGCAAATATGCTGATGAAGAGGAAGAACATGGAAAAGACGAAAATGAGAAAAAGAGAAAACCGTGTACAATACCGTTGTAATATGATTGCATTTTTTAACACAATGCGGCGAGTTAAGAGACACTTGACTGAAAGACACTTGGAGTTGCTTCAACAAACTCCATTTTGGCCATTAATATCAGCATTTTACAGAGGTGTGATTTCTATAGATCAATGCAAGAAATCCGACAATGACATCTGCAACATCATCAAGTGCTACAACTACAGAACAATGAGTTTTGACTTTGGTAGCACATCTGCATCATTGACAACCGAAGACATTGCTGAAATTTTGGGAATTCCACAAGAAGGTCAGGAAGCAGTAGAATTAAAAGGATTAAGGAACTACAAATCAGATTTTACCAAAAGATATTTCAAGGTAAAAACAGTGTCAAAAAAATTGGTGGAGGATGCTTTGGAAGAAGCGATAAAAGGGAAGAGAGAAGCAGATGTAGAGGACGTCGTACGCCTGATTGTACTAGAACTATGTGTTACATTCTTATTATGCAGCTCAAGCACCGAAACTTCATGGAATATCGTCAAATATTGTGAAGATTTAGAAAATATTTCAAGATATTCATGGGCAAAAGCAGTGGCTGACCACCTACACAAGTCACTGGAAAAGTCGACCAGAACATTTAAGCCATATTCTGTTCATGGATGCGTGGTTGTCATAATGGTAATTGGCATACTCTTGGTTCTTATAGTATCCTGCCAATGCAAGAGTACCGCGGAATGTGATTGTAATTGTTTTTGTCCTGACAGCTTTGGTTGTGTGAGAGAACAAACCTCATACAACCAATCAATGGAAGGGAGGGACATAAACCAGCTATCGTGAAATGGAGCGTGAAGGAACTGCAAATGAAACTGAGACATATAGACGTAGCAGACATTGGGGTAAGTTTATAGTTATAATTTATCAATATCTACGTGCGTAATAACTGTTATACAATACCTGTAGTTCTAATTGGTATACACATACTAATGCCGGTAGTTGGTGGTAGATGCTGATATCTTATTTGTTTGGATGATGCAACTGTTCAGCTCAGCTTTAAGGAGAACAAGAAGAAAAGAAGAGAAAATGAAAGAACATGCGAAGAAGCTAAATTTGATGGCCGAGAAGACAAAGAAGGGGAAATTTTGTTTGATGATACAACGGGATCATTGGAAGGTGAATTTCGAGCTCAGAAGACGCAAATGCATTTCCTTCCAACTAACATTGATTCAAAAAGGTTGAATGATGAGGAGGACTCAGAACAAAGTTTGGAAGATTTATGTGAAATGATTCAAAATGGAAGTACTGAAGTTGCAAAAGCTCAAGGAAGAGTGGATAGTGAAAAGTCGGAGAGTACGAATGATAAAAGAGAGAGATTGAAGAGAAAACTAAAGGAAGAAAAGGAGGAGAAGAGAAAGCTGAAAGAGGACTACGAGTTCTTAATTGGTGAGCAGAAATCATTGATTCAATCTGTGAAAAGCTTCGCGAAAAAGCTGCAAGGAACTCTTGAAGCCGAAAGGGAAGAGGTGAAACACCTAAAGGAGGACAAAATGGAGCTGATCAAGGAAATTCAAGAACTAAGAGATCAGCTCAATCGATGGACTCCATCGGCCGCAATGCAATTGAGAGACGGCATACAAATTGAGAAAAGCAACGTAAGGAGGACGTTTGATCCGGCAAACAAGAAGGTTAAAGTAGAAGGGGAGAAAGTTGAAAAAATTCGATCTGATGCAATCGACGAAGTAGGTTATTGAACCAACCTAGCAATGTGTCTGCATTTGTAGATTGATGTAAATTATGTTGAAACTTATAAGATCATGTTTCATGTGTGTATTCAGCTCCATTTGTGGCAAGAGCAAATCTGCATGTTCCATTACCACCCGTGCTCCCTTTTTTGTGTGAATCTACCACTTGAGCCAATTTTTGTTTGAAATTCCGTTTGAAATTTCGTCTAAGCACATTATGTACCACTTCAAGATCCCTGGGCTACATCGGTAAAAATTTTGTTGACAAAGAGTAATGCTAAACTTATCACTAGAGATAGGGTTTATCAACACATATGAGTCTCATCTTTGTTAGAGATATGGTACAAATAAATGGTAAGAGTAACATTTTTTGTTGACAAAAAGTCATGCGAATAGGACTTAGAGGAACAAAAGAGATATTTTCGCGTAATGTTTAATCAACAAAATGCGAATAGGGCTTAGAGGAACAAAAGAGATATTTTCGCGTAATGTTTAATCAACAAAATACAAGGAGGGGCCACAAACTTGACCCCTCTTGGAAAAGAAAAGTCAATAAAAAGAGGGGGGCATAGGACCAAACTCCTCCAAATAAAACTTAAAAGGTAATAACCCGCAAGAAAAACTGCAAAACAGGAAAAAAAAAGAAAAAAAAAAGGAGTTTTAACAAAACACTTCTAGTACTGTTCACTTTTAACGAAAAATCACATTTTTACCTTTAACTGGCACTATTCATTACACCTTTAAAAGGGATTTTCGTTAAAAGAGAAGTTTTTTTGGACTTTTCGTTAGTTTTCCTAAAAAAATATCCAAAAGGATTAGGTAAAAAAAATGACACATCAAGAAGGAAAGATAAACTTGTAGGCCGGCATGTCTAAGAAATCTTATTGCAAAAAATGAAGAATCTTAAAAGGAGTATCAACATGCCAAACAAGAAAAGATGTGAGAAGACATAAGTTGACTAATTTATCAGCAACTGCATTCCCTTCTCGAAATATATAAGTGCAGCAAAAAACCATGTGCTGCGACCGAGAAATACAATTTCTCCAACTGAAATAACACTACTTCTGACCAAAATTTTATGTCCATAACAAATAATTCAACAAGTTGCTAATTAGCTTTGACATTCAAATGCCATCGGAAAGGGTCGTCTCGTCGTCGGAAATAATATATTTTTGAACAGAAAAAGTTGGCGCCAAACTTATTTACGACAAAACTCTTTCTCCTCAGTTATAGTTGGTTTTTTATTTTCTCGACGGATAGTTCATTTTTTTTCGAAAATTATTACCTAAAGAGCAATAAGTTGTCATCGTTATAATGTCTTTTATAATCGAGGGCGAAATATTTTTGTCGGAAATGATTATGCATATTTGAGGGAAATTAAAGGCAGTCAGAATGTTACAAAAGGAAAGGACCCCTTCTAAGAGGTACTTGTTCCTATCAAATAGGCCCTTAGTGAGCTTCAGAAATCTTAGCTCTCAAGCACTCCACTGCACTAGCATTAAATGAACCAAACGCGTAGACATGACTTACCGGCTATTCTTCTGTTACTCAATCAACATGTGCAAATGAAGTGATATCCACTTAGAGCTAATTGCAAGGTTTCCTAGGCCAATGCGTACAGAGCACTTTGCTTGGGTCTAAGTAGCCAAGAAAACACTTTCCCAAGCGCTAGGTCTGACAACCTTTGCGTTCCTTCATGGACATCTGCTCTTATTGATGACCAACACGTGGCTTGGAGTTGATGTCTGAGTAGACGTGTATATAGAGCCTGTATCATAAAGTTATCAGTTTTGTCAACTTGCTTGAACAATCGAAACATACTATTCGATTAAGCGCTAGTCTTCTTTACCAATACAATCGAGACCGATAATTAATCAATTATAATGATCGTCATTTTGTCTTTGTGATAGTGCTCTTGTCATATATTTTCATTGGGTTGGCTCATAGGCCCAAGACTTTAGTCTTCTCCTCCTCTTGTGGGCCCTCTATCTTAACCCACTCTAACTGGTTCAATTTACAACTATATATTATTTAAGATCTAACTGGTTCAATCTAAATAGAACATTTTTTACGGCTCATCAGAAATATATCTTTTCCAACTAAAGCTTTTGCAATTACCATTGACCGGCACTCGCCTTGGAAAAGAGTTTTTCTGACGAAAGAAATGTTTTATCGATGTCATTTGACCTTCGATGAGGTTTCATAGTTCAATCTCATCATCTATTAGAGTCGAACTTAAAATCTTTTACTTACAAATAAAAAATAGAGATTTTAGATTTTAAGGCTTGAATGAGATCTTTTTAGATTTTAACTTAAATGATTTCTAAAGTTAATTCAGTTAAAACTTATCATATTTAAGTATTTATAGCACATTTATTATTTATAAACTTACCATCCGAAGTTCGATATCCATAAATAATTAATGTATTTTTTGTGCTCCAATCATATTAATAGAAAAAATTTCTACAATATTCAAAGTCTTATAATCAACAAAATGTCAACATCAAATCCCAAAAAAAAAAGTGTTATATTTAAAAAAAAAATTTCGTAGGTACGAAAATATCGATACGTACGTAACTATAATATCGACAAAAAATAAAAACTATAATATCTAATAAGTACAATTATTCATGCACAATGAAGAATAGATGATAATATATAATTTTTCTTATTATGAAAACTGAACAATAATTATCGATAAAGTTACATTTTTATTGATTATGGGAAGCAATATATAACCTACGCACAAAAAAGTCAATAATTATTACAACCTGATTAATATTAAAAAAACTACAATTAAATGTCTAAGGAGTAGATTTAGTTTTAATCTTATACATAATTTTATTCTAAAAGTATTTATTATCAAGGATTGAAATAGAATTTTCCATAAAAAGAATATTACTAAATTACAGTAAACTCAAACTATTTTGATTTGCAAAAATATAGAAATCTACCTTTCTATGGGAATATGTTCGCTAATCACCCTCACATGATCAAGGTATTAAATATCGATAATATCGGAAATATTGGTAGTCCGAAAACATGGAAATATCGATGGAAATATCAAGATAATATCAATATCGATAAAAATAATATGGAAACCACGGAAATTGTAAGAAAAACTTGGAAATTTTTATTGAAACTTTGCAGGATGTTTATTTAGTCAATTATCTATTAGTTTATCACAAAAAATTGGAAGGAAATACATTGCATGATGGATTTAACATTATAAGTTGATTATATAGCGAGCTGGCAAACATTGTGAGTGTAGAAAATATGTAGTAATTAATGAAAGAAGTTTAAACACACCATAATCATTTATATATAATGAATTCGTACAATATTTTACACTTTATACATTGCATGGTAAGATACATGAGTGACTTAGTACCACATAGAGTTCCTATGGGGTTCAAATTTTTCACTATCTTCATCATCTCTATGTGTAGAGTGAGTGTATTGTGAAGAGTAGTTATCAAATGATAAATCCCCAAAATAGTTTTGCATGTAATTGTTAACATGTCACTCATATGGATCCGAGATTGGTTGACCCTGTCCATAAGCAAAATCATTTGAAGATTGAATCTCGGATTGTTTCCATGAGTCACTTGATTCCATCCCAACAGGAATGGGATATGAAGGGTAGGGAAATGGTTGGTTATGAGTATAACCATAGTTACTACTTCCCAATCCAACAGAGTCCGAAGTTATAAATAACGAGTCATTTTCTTGACTTGACAAAATCCCCTTGCCTCTTTCTCTACGAGTATAGTCCTTCCCTATGGCACTAATTCCTGGTCCTGCCCACCTACTGCCATGGTCCTCATCCTATGTTGCATGCGTGACATTTGCCTCACCAATGAAGGGGCTCATAAATCCGGGAGGTGGTTCAACATAATTTCCATATCCACCACCACTACCTCCAGCTCCACTATATCCTTCATCATTCCCACCTCTGGTGGTAGGTGAGTCTCCTCCTGATCTTTTACTAGAGTTATCATTAGTATCAGCACGATGTTGTGGTTGTGTAGGATTGAGAGAAGGTGGAATTCCAGTGTTTCTTAGTCTTAGGCGCAAAAGTTCTTCCAAAGAGTCAGCGCTGCTAGATCCCACCTCCTCCGCTAATACTCTTTCTACATTTATCCCTTCATTACGTGCTTCTTCAGCAACTCTGGGAGCTGGGTTGCCTTCATCATCATCTAAATGAAGAGGTCTAATCCATTGATAAAGTTGGTTACCCTCTGTATCATCATCTTCAACAACAATATCAAACACATCTAGTAGGTCACCACGGTCGACATGATCTATTTTTGCTTCCTTATCTCGAATTTGAAGCTTCATATTGTAGTAGCAATAAACTAATTTTTCCAACCTACTATGAGCCAACCTATTTCTTTGTTTTGTGTGTATGAGTGCAAATGTGCTCCAATTTCTTTCACAAGCAGATGAGGAAGCTGTTTGTGATAATACTTTGATTGCTAACTTTCTCACAGTTGGTGCATTGGTCCCATACATGATCCACCATTCAGCTACAATGAAAAACAATGTTGATAAGCCTAATAACTCCAACAAATTTTATTATAAACTTATCGTGAAATATGTTTACACTCACTCGGAGACATTTTTGTTCGGGCAGCAACTGATGTTGGTTCTCCAAAAGTTCTTCTTGCATTTTTAAACCATGTTAGCTGAATTCAATAAATCGTGTTAGTTTAATCAAACAAAGTAATTATTATAATTTAAGTAATTGTGTACCTCATTTCCAAATTGGCCAACTACTGGTGATGCAGGGTCTAATTTAGAGTATACATTATGTACAACACGTATAATGTACCATCATCTCCAACACCGGGTCTGTATTGATATCGAGGATTCAAATAATATGTTGTTCAAAGAAACACATACTCTAATAAGAGAAATAATACTTATGCAACTAAAGAAATAAATTGCAAATTATGACATAATGTATACATGCTGCATGCAAATCGTGGTATAATGTTTTATACCATCGGTCTTCAATTATCTTTATGACCCACCTTGCACCATATTTTCTTTCCAATTCATCCTTCACTACACGCATTAACTCATATATTGCCCCCATAGTAGGATACACCTCTGTGTCAACGATCCGTAAAACTTTGTAAAGAGGTTTAAACACTTGGCACACATGTTCTGATTGAGTCCAAAAAGCATGATCAAGCATTATACTTTCCACCATATGACCTGCATTTGAGCAGCTGAAATTGTGGTTGGCCCAATCGTCACTAGTGAATAGTTGCTTCAACCCTGCTTTCTTCTTAAGTAGGCTGTCTAATGCAATATAGTTGGTGGCGAATCAAGTGGTAGCTAGACGAATAATTTCTCCTTTGCAAAATTCACGCATCTTTGCCAACAACCAACCGTGATTGTAAATATAATTTGTGATCGTTCTAGCTCTTTTTACCACATTAGCAACATTATCTCTCTTCCCCATTGCCTCAAACATGAGATCAATACAATGTGCTGCACATGATGTCCAAAACACATTATGATGCTTCATTAACTTTTTTCCAGCTTTGACAAATGCAGAACCATTGTCGATCACGACTTGGACAACATTATGCTCTCTCACCTCCATGATTACATCCCTCAATCATTTGTAAATATACTTGTAGTTCTTTATATGGTCTGAAGCATCAACAGACTTCAAAAAAATTGTCTTTCCCTTGGAGTATACCAAGAAGTTTATAATAGACAATCTGATCGGGCTAGTCCATCCGTCACACATGATTGTGCAACCATTAGTTTCCCACTTTGACCTCAACTTGTTAACATACTCGCCAATGTCTTTATACTCCATATCCAAATATTTGTTTCTTATCTCATAGGGAGTGGGAGGTTGTACTCCAACACCGGCCTGTTGACATCCCACTACCATATTTTTGAAATGATGTGATGATGCTTTCTCAGCAGGGACATTTTCATAGATAAAGAACTTGCTAATTAGACGCCTCATTCCCTCCTTCACATTACCTCCAGTGAAATAACTCCAAACACTCCTTTGACATGCTTTGGATGACTTATATAAACTTGGGGCTATTGGTGGTGTTGGTTGTGATTCTCTAAGACTGCCTCCTCGTCTCATTTGTGCACCACCACTTGTCCCGGAACCTTGTGCTCTATTAGGAATTTTATGAAGGTGTTCTCTTTCCCATGCTGACTGTTTGGAGGCACGTAATGCTTGTTTCAAACTGCGTCGTTCTTCAAGTCCCATGTCATCATCACATTCGTCCTCATCGTCATCATCACATTCGTCCTCATCGTCATCATCATCACTGTCAACCGCTTGGCCATAGACTTCTCCTCGTAGCCCAGCTCGAATATTTTCCATTCCATGTGTTATCTTTTCCTTCTGCTGTTTTTTATTTTTTAATAATGTGATGATGAATGCCTTCACTTCTGGGGGGACATTATCGCATCGTTTGACATTTTTTGCTGGATCTAATTCACTAAGATGGTACTTAAGTCGTGTCACTCCGCCACTCTTCATTACCCGACCACAATATTTGCAAATTGTGCCATGTCTGTTTCCGTTTATTGGGTCTCCATGTTCCTAAGCTGGATCACGTTTAGTAACTCTACTGGACATCTTAAACGTACCTATATTATTTTTCATGAAAATTAGACAATTATTTTTCGACCAAAAAATATAGTAGTGATGACAGTTATATAAGAGAACCTAAATAATAAAGTTATTCTACAGAATAATTAAATACGAAGTAAAGAAAATGATTGTAAAAATTTAAGTAATTATAAAAATAATATGGAATAATAAAACCTAATATTAATGAATAATAATCCAATTTGATAAAAAAATAATCCTAATATAAAACATAGTGATGAATAATAATCCAATTTGATAATAATCCAATTTAATAATAATCCAATTTAATGAATAATCCAATTTGATAATAATCCAATTTGATAATAAAAAAACCTAATATTAATGAATAATAATCCAATTTGATAATAAAACCTAATATTAATAAAATAATAAATAACATTAAACATATTAAAATTATCCTAGGGAATAATTATACAACATTACTTAATTACTTAAAAAAATTAACATGTAATTGTTAACATTACTTAATTACTTACAAAAACTAACATGCAAGTATTAATTACTTAAAAAAATTAACATACGAGTCCACACAAATTTTTTTGTTGTTGTATAAATTACAATAATATAAATATAAGTTTGTAAACTTACTTTAAATATGGAACCCTTTGTGTTCAAGTTCTGGAATGGATCTGGAATGGCTTTGAAAGGGGTAAGGGAAGAAGAAGAAACGAAAATGCTCTGAATGGCTCTGATACTCCACCTCTTGAAAGAATATCACAGTGGCACACGGTTTTGAATGAAACCACCATCCATGGTCTGAAATTGTACAAGTTATAATTGTAAAAGTGGTCTAAAATTGTCAAAATAATTGTAAAAGTTGTCAAAAATTCCTGAGTGAGTCCTGAGTCCTGACAGGAGGAACCCCACACACACACACAGTGACACAACGCACGCACACAAACATCACACACGCAGACACACAGAGACCTCTGTCTCTCTCTCTCGATCCTTCTCTATTCTCTTCATTCTCCACTCCCGCACACACACACAGAGATCTCTCGATCTCTCTTCTCCCTTCTCCCACACACACACCACAGCCTTCTGCTCATCCCTCTCATTTCTCTCTGCACCGAGACCCACATACACCTCTCATTTCTCTCTGCACAGAGACCCACACGCACACCATCGCACCTGCTCTGACGAGTTTCTTCAATTTCTCCGGTTAGGTAAGCTTCGGGTTTTTCTTTTTCTGTTCTAGATCGAAGCTTAGATGTGAAATTGAAGTTCTATCTCGTGTTTTTGCAAGGTTTTTGGGATGAAATCGGCTCGGGAATAGGCACACCCATCTCCGGCGAGGCCGTGGGTGTCGACGAACTTTCCGAACACCTCCGACCGTTTCACGGCAAACGGACGTTATAAAAACGTTCCTCTCGTCTTCTATTTCATTTTCATACCTAGATCGGAGTCTAGGGGGCTGTTTTATAGTCGGCCGGAGCTGTAGAATCTCCGGCGTTCGTCTTCGATTTGCACAGTTCCGAAATTTCGCGATAATATCGACAATATCGTAATATTTTGACAAAAACCCTTTGGATACCTATTAAAATATCAGTCCGGCAAAAAACCGATAATATCGGCGATATATCGCCGATATTATCGGCATTTGGTTCCTTGCACATGATGATGATGCTTACTTTTTTTTTTATCATCGTTGAATGAGTTTAAATTTCAAGATCTATTTAGTGGATTAACACAAATCTCAAAATTTAAACTCATTCAATAATAATAAGTAGAAGGGTGAGCACTACCATCACTTGAGGATGGTGAGAAAATGCATCTCTTTTTATGGTGGAGTCTAGTATTGTCCATTACAATGAGTGGTGTTATTCACACACTTCTTTTTACCTTCTATAAACTCCTGCTAATCTATTCAATTCAGCTGTTTTTTTTTTTTTGAACAATGAATATTATGTGTACTAAGGGTGAGGGGGTGAGTTTAGTCTCACAATGAGTTAACAATAATATGATTCAAATTCGTTTTTTATAAGAATTAAACTTAAAACCTCTCACTTATAAGTGGAGAAAAATACCATTAAATTATAGTACAAAGTAACTATTCGATTCCGCTATTGAAAATTAAAGTATGGAAAAAAGAAAAAAAAATCATGTGGATATCACTACTTCTGATAATACATATAAAGACTCCTAGAGGACGTTTTGTCTTAATGCGTTTCAATTATGGGACAACCGTACGATCATGCATGCTAGCAACACGTGGTGCTATCTTGTTCACTCATACGTCCACTATTACACTCAGCAACGGTGTCACTTCTTCGTTCCATGCTTTTCAAGACTTCAGCTCCGGACTTGAGTCTTGGTCTTTCTCCACTTCCTTCCGAAGCTCACTGATAAAGTTTCGGGGCATCATCTCGGTTCCGTTTCGTATTTCTGTCACCGCAAATGGTGACCGCGACACCACTAACTCCTCCTTCAAACAGCCAGCAAGCCGAAGCCGAAGCCGAGGCTGAGAATCTGAGCGTCCCGGAGTTGTTTTCGGCGCTGAGAAGGGCATCTCAGGCCGATGAATTCGCCCGAATCGAAGAGGCATTAGCAGCGAGAGAAGCGAAGCTGAAGCAAGAAATTGAGCGGCAGAGGCACGAGAAGGCATTGATGGAGGAAAACCACGAGTTCGAGCGGCTCGAGAAGCTCAAAGCAGAGGACGAGCTCAGGCTCAAGCTTTCTGCGGTCAAGGTAGAGGCGGTGAGCGGAGAGGAGCTGCCGGAGAATGACGAGGACAATGAGGTAGTTTCGGAGCGTCCGGGGGAAAAATTGAGGAGGACGAAGAGGAGGAAGGGTTTGAGTGAGAGTGACGGCATGCAGAGAAGAAGAAGCGAGCGTTTGGCTGCAATCGCTACTGATAGTGCTGCAGACAACTCTGCTTCTGATGAAGAAAATGGAGGCCTGACAATTTCAGGTAATTTGGATTAATGAATTTCCGAAATTAAGTACTAATTTTTGGATTAAGTACTAATTTTGTCAACTTTTTTTACTAACAAATTTGGGATTGCGTGTGCTTTTTAACAACCTAAAGCACCTGCCAAATGTTTCGTAAAAAGCACTTGAATTTTTAATAAAAAATTTAACGTTTATAATAAAAGTACTTTTAATCTACGCGCTTATGAACATGAGTGTTTTCTTAAGACGAAACAAAAATGGTAGCAATTTAAAATGGAAAAGAAAATGTAGCATTTGGTATTGAATCTAAAATGAAGTATATAAATTAGCAATTTTATTTGTGGTAATTTTGAGTTTAGTGCTTGGATTTTTGTTTGTTAATTGGTATCGGCATACATTTGATGATTATACCTTTGTGCTATTCTGAACTGGTTTTGGTATAATTCTGTTAGTTATAACGTGTGCATGTATATTTGTATGTATAGGTTATAGAGGGGACGAAAGGAAGCCGAAGAAGTGGAAGAACATGGGAAAATTGATGGAAAAGCGGAAGACGGGAAGTGGAGGAAAATATATACAATATCGTTGTACTATGATGTCATTTTTTAATACGATGAAGCGAGTTAAGAAACACTTGAAGGAAGGGCACTTGAAGTTGCTTCAACAAACTCCATTTTGGCCATTAATATCGCCATTTTACAATGGTGTGATTTCCGAAGATCAATGCAGGAAACCAGTGTCTGGTATCCGCAACATCATCAAGTGCTACAACTCCACAACAATGAGTTTTGAGTTTGGTAGCACATCTGCAAGGATGACAACCGAAGATATCGCTGAAATTTTGGGACTTCCTCTAGAAGGTGAAGAAGTACAATTGAAAGGATCAACAAGATACAGATCAGATTTCACCAACAGATATTTCGATGTAAAAGAAGTGTCCAAAAAGATGGTGGATGATGCTTTAGAAGAAGCGATAAAAGGGAAGAGAGAAATCGATGTTGTACGCCTGATTGTACTAGTACTATGCGTTTCCTTCTTATTTAGTGGCACAACCCACTTCACTTCATGGAATATAGTCAAGTATTGTGAAGATTTAGAGAATATTTCAAGATATTCGTGGGCAAAAGCAGTGGCTGACCTTTTACACAAATCATTGCAAGCATCGACCATGAGGTTCGATGGATGTACTGTTCATGGATGTGTGGTTGCCATAATGGTAATTAGCGTACTCTTACATATAGTGTCTCGTTAATGCAAGAGTGCTTTCATATATGAATTAATTTGTTTTAATCCTAACAGATTTGGTTGTGTGAGAAAACTAACCTCATACAACCAATCAGTGGAAGGGAGGGACAGAAACCAGCTCTTGTAAAGTGGAGCCTGCAAGAACTGCACATGAAACTGCAAGAAATAGACATTGCTGACGTTGGGGTAAGTTTTGTACTAATAATATGAGTATTTGCATAACAACTGTTATACAACACAGTGTAGTTGTAATTGGTATGAAGTTACATACAACTGTTATCATATTTGTTTGGATAATTCAACTGTGCAGCTGAGCTTTAAGAAGGACAAGGGGAAGAAGAAGAAAAGAGGAGAAAACAAAACAACAGGTGAAGAAGCTAAAACTAATGGACGAGAAGATCGAGAACAAGGGGAAGATGTGTTTGAGTTGGAGACCTGCAGTTCGCAGTTTGAGCAGCGTAGTAAGAAATTGAGGAAGGGCAACAACTTGCAAAGAAGAAGTGAGCGTCTGACTGCAAACCGTAGTGCTGCAAACAATAGTAGCAGTGTAAGCTCTCTTCCTGTTAAAGGAAATAAAGATCTCGGAATTTCAGGTATTGGATTAAGGAGTTTATATGATATTTGCAATTTAATTCATGCTAATTTTGAGTTTTGTTATTTAATTGGTAGTCAGGGGGTAATCTAAGTGTTGACTTATCTTTGACGATTGTGCATTTGTGCTTTTCTGGTCTGGCTTCTGTATAAGCGTAGAAGTATGTTGTTAACTTATATTTCTGAAGGTTATATAGGGGTCACAAAGAAGCAGATGGAAAATAGGAAAACACAAAAAAGGAAGATGAGAACGTGGACAAGTGCAGAAGGGGGAAAACATGTGCAATACCGCTGTAATATGAAGTCATTTTTTAATACAATGCAGCGAGTTAAGAAACACTTAACTGAAGGGCACTTGGAGTTACTTCGGCAAACTCCATTTTGGCCATTAATATCTGCATTTTACTATGGTGTGATTTCTGAAGATCAATGCAGGAAATCAGACAGTGATGTCCTTAAAATCATCAGATGCTACAACTCAATAACAATGAGTTTTGAGTTTGGTAGCACATCAGCATTGTTGACAACCGAAGACATTGCCAAAATTCTGGGACTCCCACAAGAAGGTAATGAAGTACAATTACAAGGATCAAAGAAGTACGAATCAGTTTTTACCAAAAAATATTTCGAGGAGAAACACGTGTCAAGAAAAATGGTGCACGATGCTTTGGAAGAAGCAATAAAAGGGAAGAGAGAAAAACATGTAGAGGATGTTGTACGCTTGATTGTACTAGAACTATGCGGTACCTTCTTGTTTTGTGACTCAGGTGGGTTAAATTCATGGAGTCTAGTAAAGTATTGCGAAGATTTAGAAAATATTTCAAGATATTCATGGGCAAAAGCAGTGGCTGACCTTCTACACGAGTCGTTGGGAAAACGGACCAAGATGTCGGATGGATATTCTCATCCTGGATGTGTAGTTGTCATAATGGTAATTGACCTACTCTAGTTTATAACACTTTCCTAATGTAAGAGTACCGTCATATGTGATTGCAGTTTTGTTTTATTTTCTTTGTAATAGCTTTGGTTGTGTGAGAGAACTAACCTTATACGACCAATCAAAGGAAGGGAGGGACAAAGACCAGATCTCGTAAAATGGAACTTGCAGGAACTGCACTCAAAACTGGAACAAATAGACGTCGCTGACATTGGCGTAAGTTTATAGTTATAACATTCAGCACTTACATAATAACTGTTATGCAATACAGTGCAGTTGTAATAGGTATGAAGTTACATATACATTATATATGCACTATTGGTAGGAATTTGGTTGTAGATGCTGATATCCTATTTGTTTCGGTAATTCGAATGTGCAGCTGAGCTTCAAGGACAAGGAGAAGAAGAAGAAAAGAAAATATAATGGGAAAACACACGAGGAAGCTGAAATTGATGGACAAGAAGATGGAGAAGAAGGGGAAGATGTGTTTCGTGATACAGTGGGCTCATCGGAAGACAAACTCCGAGTTCAAAAGACACAATCACAATTCATCCCTGCTCCCACTATTTCGAAAATGGTTCAAAAAGCAAATGCTGAAGTTTCAAGAGCTCAAAGAAAAGTGGACAGGCTAACTGGAAGGTTGGAGAGTAAGAAGGAAAAAACTATAAAACTGAGGAGAAAACTAAAAGAAGAAAAGGAGGAAAAGAGAAAGCTGAAAGAGGACTACGAGTTCGTAATTGCCGAGCAGAAATCATTGTTCGGTTCTCTGAAAGGTTTGGTGAAAAAGCTGGAAGGAACACTCGAAGCCGAAAGGGAAGAGGTGAAAAACCTAAAGAAAGAAAAAACGGAGCTGATCAAGGAAAACCAAGAACTCAAAGATCAGCTACATCAAGGGAGTCCGTGCACCGCAATGCAATTGAGAGAAGACGTACAAATTGTGACAAGCACCGTAAAGAGGGCGTTAGAACCGGAGTTCGGGGACGATCAAGGCGGAAAGAAGAAAAGGAAAGGAGATGAGCAGAATGAAACAAGGGTTCATGTTTTATCTGATGCCACTGCTGCAGGTATTCTTGGATGAACAAGTGTTAGTGTCAGTGAGGAAGCAAGGAAATGGAAAATTACATTTCTTATCTCTCTCTCTCATGTATAATTAGCAAGTTTAAATAACAATGAAAGGGGCATGAATCCGTAACGTGTAAGTTTCTCTAATAAAGTTTACGAATTGGAACCCAAGATTATAATTACCGTGTTACAATATTATGCCACGATTAGCCCGTTTAACGTTAGCAAGCACAAAACTACTCCTAAACCACTCTTAATGTTTTCACGCCCTTTCTTCTCTTGACAGACACGGAAAAGGGGTATAAATCCGTAACATACAAGTTTTTCTCATAAACACAAAATTACTTCTAATTTTCTAAATTGAAATATTTACGTGAATAAATGGTTAAGCTTGTCATTTCACCTTCAAGTGATGGGTGTTGGATTTTATTTGATGTCGTTTATTTCCTCGTTTATTTCTTGTGTGGTTTTTGTGTCATCAAACAATGCAGTGTAACACTCTTTTTAGTTCATGGGTTAATTTGCAATTGCCCCTTAAAGTTTCATTATTTTAACTTTAGTCCTTCAGCGTTTTTTCGCCCCAAATTATTTCTTTACACGTGTCTTTTTCTTTACAATGTGATATTCGTTACAAAATGTTGATAGATTAACACGTGACTGCTTTTTAAAGAGCATTTCGACAACTCATTCGCTTTCATAAAAATACTGGTCCAATAACATGTGAACAGCTATGTCCAGAGTAAATATTTATGCTAAAATATTAAAAAAAAAAGATCGGTTGATCTAGTCCGAAACTGGTACTAAAATTGTTGAACTGAAAAAGTTAAATTTTACCTACAAACTTGATCGAATAACATGTAAATATAAATTGTGTCCATCATTAAACTTGTCAAATTTTGAAACTGACGTTACTTTTATCTTCATTTGACACATTTTAAAAGTTTAAGAGCTGAATTGGGACTAAGAAAAAAGGTTTGAAGACCAAACTGAAGCTTCCATCAAAGTTCGCGGTCTAAATCTGTAATTAGCTCTTAGTCCGTCTCTATTTTGATAAAAAAAACTACAAACGCTACTAAAACACGCCAACACTACTACAACACGCCAACTCCCCAACATTCCCAAAATCCAGTCACCTTCTTTTTCCTTGCATCATCAGCAGCAGCAGCATCAGCATCAGCATCGTCCTCTCTTCAGTTGATTCTTCAAATTCCTTGACCTTCTGACTTCCCTGGTTCCCCCTCACCAACAAAAATCCCGCACTTTTTCTCCTGCTTCAAAACTTCCTCCCAAAACCCAAACCTCAAAACCTCTCACACTTCTCATCACCTCCCATCCCTCTCTGGTCTCCAACATTCGTCGTTTCACACTTTTGGGTCGCCCGTTGTACTGTTTTGGTCCCTCTCTGGTGACAAAGATTCCTCATTTTTTCACATTGGGTCGCCCATTTTACTATTTCAGGTATGTTTCTCAGAAAGTTTTGAACTTTTCCTTTTTCAGGTTATGGGTGTTGGGGTTTTTTCTTTTTTTTTTCTTCATGTTTCTGGCTTGTTTGGGTGATTGAATCGGCCAGAAAATTGGGATTTGTTGGTGGTTGTGTTTCGGGGTTTTCTGGGTGTCTTGAGTGTTTTGCATTGTTTTGGGGACTTAACTTGGTTCTTGTTCTGTATCAGTGTGCTTGAAAATGGGGGAATTTAGCAGTGAAAATGAAATTCCAAGCATTTCCCACATGATTTCGAATCTGCGGGCGACGTTTTTGTCTCGGGATTTCGACCGAGCTGAAGAGAATTTAGTAGCCCGTGAGGTTAAGCTGAAGAGGGAGATTAAAGACCTGAAGAACAAGAATATTAAGCTGGAAGAACAGCACCAGTTTGATCAGCTGGAAATGCTCAAAGTTGCGGATGAGCGAAATGTTGCGAACGAGAGATACCAAAAGCTGTTGCAGGAGATGAAGAGGGGAGTTGGAGGAGATGACAACGATGCGGTTATAGAGCTGATGAGGAAGTGCAGTGAGTTGGAGGTTGAGAAAAAGAAGCTTGAGGTTCTGCTTGAACGGGAATATTCGGAAACGGAGAGAAGACTTTCGAGGATAGAGGAGAAAGCAGAGAAATTGTGGAATGGGAATCAGAGTGCAACCTCTCTCCCCCCTGTGATAAATTTGGAGAATGTGAAGTTTAATGGAAATGGAAGCGGGGCAGCGAGTGCACAAGACCCTTCTCCAAGCGATCCTTCGCATTCTAAAGGAAATGGAGATCAGCAAACTTCAGGTATCGGAGAACTATATGATGTTTGCATGCTTCCACTATATTCTAGTTGCTTGCCGTTGGCTAATTGAGTTTACTTCTTGTGTTTTGCTTAAGCTTTATGAATTATGCATCAATGTGTGTGAATGTGTTAAGAACCTTCGTTGATTGCTAGTCGGCTGATTACCAATTAAATATTTTACGTGCGAAAGAGGAGCGCAGATTGTGTTTTATTTACTTCTTCCAGCGTACTCCTCACATGTTGCATTGTTAGAAAGAGTAACTGAATAGGTAGCGAAAAAAAGAGAGTATAATTGTTGAAATAATTATGAACAAATTTGTGGATGTATGTGACAATGTTTCTGTTTATTATGCTTGGTCATATGATATATGCATTCATATGCCTTCTCCTCTCGCCCTGTAAATTTGAAGACAGGTGTTTGGGGGAAGAGAACTTCTTGTTTTCGCATAGTCTATATATAGAATAAAATTTGGACATGCATTAGGTTTATTTGTGATTTACGTGCAATTAATGCATTCGGTGTGGCTACTCATATGTATTAATGAGATTATATATGTTACAACCTAAGCTATCCTTAGAATAATTTTGAAGATATTCTCTTTAAGGGAACTTTGTAAATGTAGGTCAACAATGAAAACTTATATATGAATATTTTCGGTGCCTTTGATATTATACAACGAACTATTTTTGTCATCTTCAAAAGTTCTCCTAGAACCTTGTTGCCAAGGCTTCTGTGATCCCTAACATAAGTATTACATACATGCCAGGTGCTCTGAAATCCCTGATTTTGGTTATTGATAGTGATGATGACAATAATGGAAACCCCGAAGCCAATGACTATTCAGCTTTGCCAAGTGTAGAACAGAATCCAAAGGTGCTCAAAAGAAAGCGAACTTCATCTTTAAGTTCTAGTGATACCAATGATACTGATGCAATGCCCTTAAGACAAGAAGAAAAAAAGGGGGCAGAAGAGGAGTCACAATTTTTAAGGTCTCCTGTGCATGTGGGTGATGATTGCAATAGTGATGACAGTTCTAGTTCTACTTCCAGTTCCAGTTCTTCTGACTCTGAGAATGGCAATGGAGGTCGGTCCTTCTATGCTGCAATTCAAAAGGTCAAAGCAACCCAGGTAATAAAAAAGATGACCCTTGTAGCTACTTGTTGCTTTTGAGAAATACCTGGAAGTGGTATGAATGGTGTTTCTTCTCATGGCTAGTAGCGACTTGCTGTGTTCTTTCTACACTAGTGTGATTGATTCTGTCGATTTTTGTCTTAGTATTGAATTAGATTAGAAAAAGTATTCTTCTGAATGTTTTGGTCATTTGTTGTGATTTCTGCTTTTTTGTTCTTGTGTATATGTAACTTTATTCCATTTGTCCAGATCCATAAACCTGAATTTATATTTCTTGTTTGAAGAAAAAAAGCGCAGCAAAACACAAAAGCATTGAGCTATGCAGCAAAAAAACAGGTTTTTTTTTTTTTTGACCTTTTCGGAAAGAGGAACTAGGGGGTTGGGGGAAGAGGCTCAGAACATACCTTTTACACCCGTTCCCCAGTTGATGGGTTTTCCAAAATCTCATAAAATTCTTCATCAATGAGCTTCAAGCTTATTGTTACCAACAAGAAAATTGATAATGTGTGTGGTGTATATCTTTATTTTGACAGATGAACTGCTATTTTGAAGTTTCTCCTGTTCTTTTCTTGTTGATCATAGCGCGTTATTCCTTGATCAGCCAATTATACTTGTTTTTATTGTAATCGTGTTTCACACATTGGCTTCAGGAACTCCGCTACAACTGATTATCCACAAGGGTGATTAAGAGGAACCATGATGGAGCTGCAGCAGATGCATGATGGACGTACTTCTGACTGCAAGCGAATATCAGTGATCGCATTTTGATCAGTTTTTTTAGATGTTCTTGACAATGTTGTCAAATAGACAGATAGATCGATAGACAGATTGCGAATAGGACTGAAGAAACAGCACATGATTCCTCTCAACTATCCTTCTACGTTGGGATCTGAAACCTTTGCTCTTCTTAGTTTCAAAGTGTTGTTACTTCTTTAGGGTTGAAATTTTAAGACCAGTATGCATTTCGTTGTTTTATTGGAAGTGTAAAGTTATCAGGTTATGGTTTACCAAAAAAAAAGTTTATCAGGTTATGTTTGCAGGATACTATTTCAATATGCCAAATGAGTGGCGAACGAGCACTTTGGTGCCTATCTACAAGAATAAGGGCGACGTACAAAATTGCATGAACTATAGAGGTATTAAGCTAATGAGTCATACAATGAAGCTCTGGGAGAGAGTCATTGAGCATAGATTGAGGCAAGAGACACGGGTTTCGGACAACCAATTCGGGTTCATGCCAGGGCGCTCAACCATGGAGGCAATCTATCTCTTACGAAGATTGATGGAAAGATATAGAGATGGGAAAAAGGATTTACACATGGTCTTTATAGATTTGGAAAAAGCGTATGATAGGGTCCCAAGAGACATTCTTTGGAGGATTTTAGAGAAGAAAGGAGTACGAGTAGCATATATCCAAGCTATAAAGGATATGTATGAAGGAGCAAAGACTGCCGTAAGAACTCATGAAGGACAAACCGAAAGCTTTCCCATAACTGTAGGATTACATCAAGGCTCATCCTTAAGTCCTTACCTTTTTGCGTTGGTAATGGATGAGTTAACAGGACATATTCAAGATGATATTCCTTGGTGTATGCTTTTCGCAGACGATATAGTGTTGATAGATGAAACTCAGGAAGGGGTAAATGCAAAGCTTAACCTTTGGAGAGAAGTGTTGGAATCTAAAGGTCTTCGCCTAAGCCGATCAAAGACAGAATATATGGAGTGCAAGTTCAGTGCAAATGGAGGCCAAAACGAGTTAGGGGTGAGGATCAGAGATCAAGAAATACC